CCAAAGGGCTACATGAATCTAGTCATAGAAGGAAACATGCATCGAACCAAATTGAGGGCACCCTCCTCAGCTCTTTAGCATCACTACAATTTTAAACCAGTTGAGGATCCAGCCCTAAAACTCTTAGCAAACCCGGTTTCAATTAGCTTTTCACTTGTGTGAAGTTGTAAAGTGGATCAGCGCCATTTGTTGTAATTTCACTACTTAGACCAAACTGAGAGGCACCATGCTTGGGACAGGTCAGGCGTGTGTCTCACGGACAGATGGAAAGCTCTCTTGGTTTTGCCTCTGTGTTCTCTGGGGATTGTGTTTCTTCCACTCGGATATTTGTGGGACACTTTTATATTGCTTCCAGCCAGTATTTATACTGGAGGGTTGTGTCCCGCCCCCCTCTTCCGCCCGGGCGAGAAGGTGCATCTCAGAGTTTTCTCCCTTTGTTTTATTACAGGGATCTCTACATAGGTTATAAAAGCAGTGGCTTTCTTAGTTACCTAGGCCTCCTTCCTGACACGTTTAACTGGGCCACGAGGAAAGGAAGCTGCATGCACTGTTTCTGTCATAAAAAGGATACTGACCAGTATTGTTTCTCTCTCCCTTTTTTTTTTTAAGCGTGTTATTCCTTATAAGGAGCACCTGATTGTTTGAATCTGCCTATAGTGCACCAAGCTAGCTAGATTGTGTCCACTCATCTTTTTTTTAATAGCGTCATGTTTTTGTTCCAAACCCCGCCTTTCCTGAACAAACCAATGGCTTTCTAGCTTCCGTCATTTCTTCTGAAAAGAAAAAGTAATCAAATTTCACCCCATCCCTTTTTCATATACAGTAAAGTGAGACATGCTGCTGCCACCAGTCAGTCATCTCCCATCTGATTGCTACGAGAATCCTAACGATCCTTGTTGAAAATAATGCCATTGTAATTTCTCTGACTGTGCTTTGCTTTGCTATTCACTGCCATGTGATTCCAGTACTGTACTTTAGAAATGTCCCCTAAAAGCACTTACATGTACAACTTTGGGTTTATGAAGATATTTTAAGGAGAAAAAAAAGCAGCTCACACTTTAACACTAATACAAAAGTGAAACAACGCTTAGATACTGTAGCGTGCAGGGTTTTTTTTGCCACAATATCGTGTGTTACATTTTCACAGGATTCTTGCACTAATGGTTTACCATCTGTTCTCTCTGTAAATGGGTGCACTTTACTGTTTGAATTTGTTACTATGATAAATACTGGATATTCAAGCGTGAGTAGCGTCTTCATTAGAAAAATAGCATAACAGCTCTTGTCTCAGTGTATTTTTAAAAAGAAAAGAAAAAAGAAATGAAGCAATGAATCATCACATTTATAGCACAAGAACTAACTGTTGTATATAAGCATCAAAAGATTGAGTAATTTTTAAATACAAAAATATTTGCAGTGATTTTTAAAGCACTTCCCCAGCAATTTTCTTAGGACACTTGAAGCATATTTGTGAGTTTTTCGTTACTGGATCGGTAAGGAACACACTTCTCAATTGAGAATCAATATTGATTGCAGCGATCTTTTGTGTCTGCAATGTATCTGGCATGGACAAAATGGAGAGCAGTTTGTATTTGCAGTCACATTGTGTCTGGGCTGTAGAGGACCCTGTCTAAAGGCAACTCAGTAGAGCACAAGAGTGAAATTTCACTTCACTCCTTAAGCTTAGCTGCATCTCTTGGAAGCTTGTCTGCTGAGGACAGCAGGGCAGTATCCCCAGCTGGTTCAGGATGTCCAGACGAAGTAGACTCGATACGGTACCTTTTTCCTGTTGGAATCATTAAGACTACCAGCATTGCCCCTCAAGCATTAGAGACTGCCATTGGGAGTAGGAGCCGTCAGGTGCACCACATTAAACAGCATCTTGATGCCTTGGAATGTGGGCTACTCCTGAAGTCGTTGCAACTAAACTAGCCACTAGATGTCACTGTGACTGCTCAAAATCATCTGGAGAGCGCCCTGAGCGCAAATGTCTTTCCCAGTTGTGAAGCGCAGGAGTCACCATTTGCTTCCCAAGCCCAGGAGAGCGCGCGACCTTTGTGCGGGGCTCCCAAGTGCTTGCTACCGGCCAGTTTAGGAACAGCACGGGAAGGGATGGCGCTTAGTGGAGGGAAGGGTTCAAGGAGTGAGGCCCTGGGAACCCATGTCGGAGAAAGAATAGACTTGGAGGGCCAGAGCTTTACCCCCTTTGCTTGCAGGGTGCAGAAAGCTGCTCTTGTGTAGGGGTAGCCTGGGCCAGTTGCTGGCTGACCTGGTCTGCTGGAATCACGTGCCCAGTAACTTAGAGCAGGGTGACTTGAAGACTGGTCCTAGAATTTTCTTTCTGTAGACGTGTTTGTGCATGTACCTAAACCATCACTTGGATGCGGTAAGTCCTGGGAAGGGTGGCTGCCAAGAACCAGTGACTCGGGCCCCTCGTCCAAAGATTAGGGCAGGGCGGTGAACCATTTTTGTGTCGGGGGCCGCTGACCCACAGAAAACTCAGTCGGGGCTGCACACAATTGAGAAGTAAAGAGAGAAGCCCCTGACTGAGAAGGAGGAAGACCCTCCCAACATCCCCCTCACACACCAGAGTCTAGTGGGGCCCAGGCTAGTAGCTTTTGTGTGCTCTGGGCGGGTGGCGGAGGGGTCTGGATTGCCAGCGCGGGCTCCCCAGTGCTGAGGCCGGAGGTTCCCCACCCCTGGATTAGGGTCTAGTCAGGGTGACCTAGACGCAGTCTAGCTACAACCGAAGTGCCAGCTATGCCTTATTTAGAGCACCCAGCACGCCTGTGAGTGTTTTACCTTAATTGCTAAGGTGGGTCTTTACTGATCAATTGCAAGCGCTTTGGCTGTGGTCGTTATTTTTTCCTTTGGACATTCCAGACAATTCATCTACCACAATTACTGATCTTTAAACAAGGGCTGAGGGTGCCAGCGACTGTATTTACTGTGCAATGTTGCAGCGGCCTCCATAGCAAAATGCCTTTCCTCCCTTCTGGCTGCTCAAAGGAAAAGGGGGTGGGAATGCATGTGGACACAAGCACAATGGCGACGGTGGATCTGCTTTTTTCAGAATTACTTGAATAATTGATGGACTTGTACTCAATCAAACTCTTTTTCTAATATAAACCACTAAGGGCTGAATTATTTAGCAAGAGTCATTTGTGTGCAACGCCTGACAACCACTGAATCACACTGGAACCTTCCTGAGGAATACACCACACCCATGAGACCACAAAACTAACGCAATCGAGGGACTGGACACCAGATCAATACACTGTATCCTTTCAGTTCTACCTCCTAGTCAGCTGTGCTCATGCCACTTAGCAGGTAACAGCCTGGAATGGAGCTTGGCCCAGCCCTTTCAGGCTCCCTGGTCAGTTACAAAGGAGATGGGGATTGGCCATTGCTGGAACAGAGGGTTGTTATGGGTTGGTGGGAAAGCTTCAAGCCCCTAGCGCTGTGGTGGCCAACCAGTTCTGAAGCAGTAGCCACCCGTGTGGCTACTGCTGTAGTGACTAGCCACACTCAACCGGCCAAATCTCCCCATGTGGCTAGCGGGTTGGCCACCATGGCTATAGCGGTAGGGCACTTTCGCCGCAGGCTGCCTTGCTGGGCCCTGCCAAACTAGGAGCCACGCTCCGTGCGCACGTCCTTTTGGCCAATCCATCAGTAACCTAGAGATTCCAATGTGATGGTGTCGTGTCTGTCCAGCCTTTTCTTTTCCTTCGCATTACAGCATGTTCGTCTGTTCTGACTGGTCCACATGCAAGAGGATTTGAATTAGTACAAAGATGTACAGTCTATACATGTGGATGATTTGTACTAAAGAAATAGTACTAGTTGCTCTCCTTCAAGACACTTGCTGGGAAGATCTTTAAGACACTTAATTTTCCTTTAGCTTTTCTATAATTCTGATGTAAAGGACTTTCTCTGTACAGTATATTACTCAATGCATGTTCTGTTCTCGCTACTGATATATTGAACACGACACAGTTGTGATATTGTGTAGGGGGAAGGCAACTCCTGCACTCCGTGGAGGCCCTCAGCCTCTGATGTATAAGGAAAGAAAACTATTTTTTTTCCTTTGCTGTATTTGCTTGAGCAGAGTTTTCTTGTCTGTACATGTGAGCTGTGAGATAGATGTGAAAAGTTCAAACGAATGCATTTTTCTCCCAATGTATACAGATTCTAATCTGTACAATGACCTGTACGTATGAAAAAAATGTACTTATTTATAAATGGTTAACACTTGGAAAGAGAGTCTGGCCTGGTGTTTTCCTCACACTGCAGCCTGAAATTAAGAGCATTGGCTGGTGACTTAGCCCAGCCGTACAACACTGGGTGTTTCACTGCTGGAGCCTGTGTGGATGGGCTGGGGCGAGTCTGCCCCCTCTTGTCATTCGTGTGGGATGCAAGAGACTGGACCAGGCTTGTCCTAAGCAGTCCGCTGCCCGGACCCGCCTGCTGCCTGGGAGACTTTTCTCCCCCACAGAGCAGCTTGTCTGTGGAGCACATAGGCTGCCTCTCGTCTGCTTGTAGCACGACCAAGGCCCCCCCACGAGGAAAAGGCATGTTCCAGCGCCTTGAGCTGGTGATAAATAACATGCCTCGAAGAGAAAAATGGGGTGGCCGAGGCATTATGGGGGTTGGCATTCACCAAATGAGCCCCAGCCGAAGCCTGTCAGCCACACTGTGGGGTTGCTGTTGGCCACGCCTGCTTCCCACAGCCCTGCCAAGCCACCCGATCATGGGGTGCATTATACCGGGGGGAACGATGCATAACCCAGTTTGACACCTGCGGCCTCAGGGTGTAGCGCCTTGGCTGGTACGGTGCGCCTGGCTGCACTGACTGCTCTTTAGCAAACCGCCGTCAGACTGCCCCCTGCTCGGCTCTCCGGGAGCAGCACGTTAGCTCAAATCAGAGCAGGGTACTCAAGGACAATGCATCACCTGCCAATATGCACCAAACAGCCCCACCCTCCCTTAGCCAAGCGCCCATGGCGGTATGGCCCTGACATGGTTGAGCCCGGGGCCCAGTTCTAGCGCGTGCTGTGCTGGCCAGCACGTTCCATGGGGCAGCGTGGTAAACAGGAGCTAGCTGGTGTGTGCCCCTGTTCAGCCACCTCGCGGCCTTTCAAAATCTGCCTCCAACGAAACTGGAGCCCAAACTCACACCCAAGCACCGGGGGCCCTAATCTACATAGTCGCATCCAGTGTCTCAGCAGTGCTCCCCACCCCACCCCCGGTGCGCAGCCCTTGCTGGGTGCATGCACAGCACGTGCCGTGCTAGGCCGGCTGATGGCCCGAGGATGCTCTGCCCACCTGGCAAAACTAGAACGTGTGGCCCAGGCTCGTTCCCACCATTTATTGACTCAGGTGCAGCACAGTACAGGCCAACAGCTTACACACAGACCGGTAGGTCAGCAGGTCATTGACAGGGCTTTGCCTCCCCCCCCAAACAGACCCAGCCGGGCATTGCTCAGCCACGGGCGAGTCAGGTGCCTGCCTTTGGCGCAGGAAAGGTTTTGGCAGGGCAAGACTCGGCTGCAGATTCGCGCTGCTTGCCTGGGACGTGCGTGTGTGACAGGCTTGTCTATTGGCAGTTTGAGGTGCACGCGCCTCTGGGAGGGCCCCCCCCCCGGTGCTAGCAGAGGGTTGCTGTTTTGAACAAACTACAGCGTTGGGCATTTGTCTGTAAGGACACCGTGCACTGGGCTGTCCCATGGCCGGCAACAGGTTGAAATCCTGTCAGGTGCAGGGGATTTCAATCCACGCAGCTCACAGTTTTGCACCAACTTGGACAGGATCCTGTGCACCCTGCTCTAATGTAGGGAAGGCGGCCGTAGAGCGAGGCTTAAAACCTGGGGGGGGGGACGACACCCTCTGGCATTGCTAGACAAAGCTGCATCCACCTTTCCCTCATTACAGACGTTCCAAACGGCCCTTGACGTCCCTCCTGGCAGAAGTAAAATGAGCGAAGGGGGGTCACAAGGGAGCAGCATGGGCCCGACCCCCTTGCAGAAAGTGCAGAATTAAACATCAGGCCCCAGGCCGGGCCCTGTCACACGAACTGTTCAGCCTCTGGACCTGCCGGGGCTGTCGGCTTCAACCTGCCAAGGCCGGGATGTGAGGCTGGGCCACCAGCCCTCCTGGGATTGGGGAGGATGGGGGCAGGGAGGCAGCCTGCACTCTGGGGCTG